AAAAGGCTACAAATACCAGGGTAAAATAATGTTACTCACCTGAGCCCTGACCCGTGTGGTTCAGTGGGCTGGGCACCGTCCCACAAGGTGAAGAAATGTCACTGGTTCAATTCCTGGTCCAGACACATGCCTGGGTTGCAGGTTTGGTCATGGGTTGGGGTGTGTGAGAGCAACCGATTGATGTGTCTCTCTCACGTGGATGTTTCTCTCCCTCTCTCTCTCCCTCCCTTCCCCTTTCTCAATAAGTGAATGAAATCTTTTAAAAAAATTTTTTTAAATGACTAACCTGAGATTTCTCAGGTACCAGGATAGCTTCCCAAAAGACCTTGCACTTCACCTGATGTTATGATTTCAGCCCAAAGGCTTGCTGCATAGCTCCTTGAACAATGTCATTTATCTAGAACCCAAGGGAAGGGTTCCTCTTTAAAATCGATGTACTTTGAATCCCTGATGAGCCTTACTTTCTGGGTTATGTGGACAGGGGCGTCTCCCCTGACGCTGTCTCTTACATGGCTGCCTTCTAAGTGTCCCTCTGACTCACCGTCCTCAGGTCTGCAGGCATTTGTTCCCTTCTGACAGAGGCTGTTTAGTTTAGTTTGAGAAATGTTCATTGTTCTTATATGCCACACTCTGTGACAGAGGAACATATTATTGTAAAGTACTCCAACTATATGACATCCTCAAATTTTGGAAAATTCTCCAATGCCTTTGATAATAAAGCAATTCCAGCAGAAACTGAAACCATGATTTGATCTTGTGAGGTGTCTAAGATAATTCTCACCACTGCCCCTTATGACTTCAACTGTCATCAAAGTCAGTGAAGAAACACTTTTTCCTACCTGCCCTTCGCTGCCTCTTGGTTACATACACAGAGATGTCCACCCCCACATATATTTTTTCTTCCTAAAAATGTAGGTAAGGCTTAGACACTTGATGGGGGGAAAAACTATATTGTTCAAAGTCTCTGAGAGGCCAAAACATTAAAAGTACTTTGGGGGTGTGTGTGCAGCAAAGAACATAAACTTGAAACCTGGGAAATAAGGTCACAGGAGAAGGGTGAAATGCACGGGGCGCTCCACGGAGAACGAGAGGGGCAGGGCTGCGAGAAAGGAGTGCGCTTCGTGCCCTCGCTTTGTGGGACAGGGAGCCCAGGTACAATCAACAGAATGGCCGCCAGGGAGTTCAGGAATAAAGGGGGTTATTTACAAATATAGTAAGATGTTCAAGAGGGCCAGAAAATTAGTCTGGGTGGCCATCCGACCAGGAGCACCGTCCAAACCCTATGATGGGGCTACTGCCCCAGGGACCCAATGCCACCTCTGCTGGGCACCCACACCACAGCTTGCACCATTGACGTTGGGCCGTGAGTGCTGCCCCCTGTCCCTGCTGGCCCCAAAGGTCAGATGCTTCGGCTGCTACCCTTTCGGAAAGTGGATTCCATTATGGTACCCACTTCATTAGAGGTGATCTTGGCAACAGGACCTGGTAACAGGTACCCCTCCCACTCTCACCTTGGTACTTTATTCTGACTTTGGGAGAAAGCACGCCACCTATTGGTCACTGGTTCATAGTACACCCAGCATCCTGTAGGGAGGCATCTCACCCTCTCAAGGAATTCTCTGCCTGCTGGCACAATGGGGTGTTTAATGGGCTGTCCCACCGTCCCATAAGGCCGTCTGTTTCGGGTGATGGGGTACATGGTAGGACTAGAAACCCTACAGGCCTGTCTATTGTCTCACATCGCTGTAAGTCAACTCTGGTGGGAAGCACGGTTGCATGGAAATACATGACAGTGGATAATGCAGTTTGGTAAGTTCACGAAAGGTGCTGCTGGCCTGGAGAATCCAAATCCGGAAAGCGTGGTTTTTCCAGTGAGGACAAATTGCTGCCCTCTCCACATGGGAAGGGCCTTCACTACAATCCCCTCCTGGGTGTGGTACTTCAAGTCTCTGAGTTAGTTACTCCTGCTGAACATTAACTGGCACTGGTGAGAAGTCCTTACCGGGCCAATGCACTCTCTCTACGCCCGAAACCAGGGCCACTTTGTCCGTGAGGCCACTGAGCAACGGGGACTGGGGACAGGGAAAGACACCAGGATGGCACAGACCTCCTCCACAGGGGGGACTCGTGACTGTTTCAGTGGGACACAGATAGTCTGCGTCTCTGGTCTCAGAACTGGAGAGGTTACCACACACTTTCTCACAGAAAATGGAGGCAGTCTCCCTCCACCACATCTGCCCACCTTCCAGCATCTGCTCGCACTGAGGGTCTGTTGTACGATGCACATTTCTGTGATGGGCATTAGCTCCAATGTTAAGGCTCAGTCAGCGGATGATGTCACTATCATGTGGGGATTGGGTGGGTTCATAAGCGATTTTTTCCCCAGCTCGTTAATATTCTACGCCGGCAGGCAAGAGCAGCTGAACGGGAAGGGCAACAGTGGAACAATGTAAACGAGCAGGTGCAGGAGAACAAGGTACTTTACACGCTGCCCGTTCGCCACACCAGCCTCTTCTTGGTTCAGGGTGGCCACAGATTCTGTCTTGGAAGGGCTTATCGTACGCAGCTCAACAGCTTCTACCCTTCCTTCTTTCAGATTCTATCCAGCTGTCTTTGCCCTTTTCTTGCAAAGGTGAAATTCTTTATTTACTGATGTATTCATTTATTATATCTATGTAAAAAAAAACTATGTTAATTGGTGTTTTTGTTAGTGTGCAGGTTACAAAGTTTGATGGGTTTGGAATGGCTTGCCACAACCTTATATTTTCCCACAAATGGTTATTTTCAGTGCATAGATTTGAGAAAAAAATTTTTCCAGGAGCACATTTATCATGTTATTGCAGAAATGTCTGCATGCTGCCTGCCCACGTGTAACCATGGAGACATTATTCACGCTCTTATCAAAAGCTAATTCTTCCACGTGTGCCCTGCCTTCATCCCCTCATCCAAGGGCACTCACTGCTCCTGTGTTCATCCTCTTTCTTCTGCTTCATCAGTTTTTTGTCTTTCCTGATACATTCTCATCAACATAAAAAAAATGCTGCTACTTGTCTCACCTAAAAAAAAATCATTCTCTGGATTCCACATGGCCTACCAACATACTACCTCCATTCTTTGCTCCCTTTTTTAGTAAAACTAGTCAAGTGCGTTGTCTATACTCCTCCAGCTCTTCCTGTTTTCTTATGTGCCCAATTCGGTCTGGTTTTGCTTCTTCTCCACTCCACCAAAACCCCATTGTTAGGTTCACAAATGACCCTCATTGCTACAGTGAGTGGTCAATTTCCGGTCCTCACCCGACTCGGCCAGTGAGCAGTGTGTGTAATAGCTCATCGCTCGCTCCCACAGCCTTTGCCACTTGCCTTCCAGCTGTTCTCCCCTTCCTCCTGCCTCACTCGTTCCTTCTGTGTCCCTTGCAGGTTCCTCCTCTTCTCTCGCCATCTTAGTGTTGGAGGAACCAAGGGCTCAGCCCTGCTCCTCCTCCTTCCTCTCCCCCCTCACCGTCCTCGGTGATCCCATCCCGTCTCATGGCACCTACATGTTGAAAATCCCCAAACTTGTATCTCCGGAGCAGGCCTTTTCCTTAAACTGTGTCCTCATATATTCAGTTGCCTGCTCACATCTCTACCTGGTGTCATACACATCTCAAATAGGTCTGAAATTGAACTTCTGACATTTCCCACCCAGCCTTCCCTTCTCGTGGCCTTTCCACTCTCATTTGGTGGAAACTCCATTGCTCTGGGTGTTTGACCAAAATTTGCAGTCATTCCTGTCTGTTTTTCATCTATCACACCATACACACATCAAACACATCAGCAGATCCTGCTGGTTCTACCTTGAAAATACACCCGGAATCCAGCTACCTCTTATACCTTTGTTGTTACCCCCCTGTGGCAAGCTACCATATTCTTTTTCCTGGATTATTGCAAAAAAACCTCTCCAACTGGTCTCTCTCCTTCTATAATCAATTCATAATAGCACTCATAGTGATCTGGTAAAATGTGTGTTCGATTGCCACCCGTTCAAAACTCTCCAGTGGCTTTGGGTCGCACTCGGAAACAGCCTTCCAGGTCTCATGCGATCTCACCTGCCATCCCCACCTGCCACTCACTCAGTCTTTGTGCTCTCAGTCCCCTGCTCAGTCACTCTGCTCCAGCCACCTCTGCCTCCGTTGCTGTTCCTTAAACACAGCAGATCCTTGCCTGCCTCCGGGTCTTTGTACCTGGCTGTTCCATCTGCCTGGAACGCTCTTTCAAGTTCTTTAAATATTTGCTCAAATCTCATATTCTCATGATCTATTTAAAAATGTAGAACACTTCTGCTCATCATCCTGTCTTCCCTAATCACTTCACTGCTTTCCTTTCCAACTCCATCAGTTTTCAGCTTCTAACTTTTCAAATAAATTACCTATTCTGTCCGTTGTTTCTTGTCTGTTTCTCCCACTAGAGTGTTTAGGGCGGTGATATTTGTTCGCTTCACTGACGTGACCCAAGGCCTAGAACAATGCCTTGGCAGAGAGCAGACAGTAGGTATGAATATAAGACAGGCGCAGGTCCCACTGAGCCTGCTGTGAGGTGCTCTCCGGGAAAAATTCCACTTCCCACCCATGGCCCAACAGCCCCACTCGGACAGTGCGCCCTGATGCTGGGCCCAGGTCACACACCCCAGCAGAGCCGGGAAACAAGTCTCCTGTTTCCGGTTTGGAGAGGTGGGATTCCCTGCATAGGGAAACGTTTCTGAAGCAGCCAACAAGCGAAGCTACCACATTATGTTACTGGAAAAAATCATATTTTCATCACCTTCCTCTTTCTTCTTCTCAAGTAGTGCACACAAAGAAAGCATTTAAATAAGAATGAGGTGACAGCTTATTAATGCTTTTAGAAGGAAACTACCCTGGTAGAACCACCTATTTTCTGCCATGTTGGAGGGTACTGGCTTAATTCATATTCTTAGCATTCCCACGGATGTTCTACATAACAAAAGGCGCATAACATATAAAATGTATTGTACATAAAATTACAGGCTCAAAAATCAAGTTTAATGTCAAAAGTTAGCATAAAAGTTCCAATATTTAAAAAAATCTGGTAAACTATCACCGACCTGCGATGACTTTGATACACTTTGTGAACCCCTGAAAAATGTTGTTTTGTTGGTGCTCAGAAACTCTGCAGGCAGAGCAGAACTTGTCCTGCTCTCACAGGACACAAAGTTTAGGAGCACTTGAGTTTAATATCTATTCATTGTTCTTTGTCAGAAGCACGAAGCCCTTCGGAGCCTAAAGCAGAAACACGAGCTAAAAACCCGTGTCCGGCAGCCACGCCCCCTGTCTCCGGAGGCACGTGTCCACTCGGAACTCTGCGCACTCTCGAGAACCTGGAGGCAACCGCTTCTGCTGCAGGCCTGACATTCAAGGACGGGAACATGGCACACGGTATGCAGGCTGCTCTAGTCCAGAAGAGTACAACTTCTTATATTTGTATATAAATGCATCTGTTTTCCCAAGGCTAACTTTGTAGCATTCCACGGGCACCAAAGAGCCAAATGGTGGCATTTTGGGTGGGCATTCTTGGTTATCGGCTTCCAAGGAAGGTGACACTGTCTCTGACGTGCCAGTTTTTTCTTCGGGAATCAGGCACTTCTCTGCTCCGGGTTCGTCGGCGTGGCCGCCTTTGGAATTCGGAGGGACGCTGCTGTCTCGGTCGGCTGCGAGGCTCCTGCAGTGAGCTTCGCCGAGCAACAGAACGACTGCCCCGCCGGCGCGGAGCACTCTGGGACAGAAAGTGATAACCGGTGTGAGTGTTCCCTTCCTCGTACGTAACAAACAACCCCATTTCATTCAAAGTGTTTGGTGGTCTTAATGTGAAATTTAATTTTATCTACTTAAATACAAGGATTTTGATAATTAGGCAGTATCTTCCATAATGCATATTCATTATAGTATTATGGAATTGCTAGTACAAATCTGCTTTAATTATCTATTTTTACTCTACTTAAAAGGCAGCCTCAAAATAATTTATAACAATATTTTAATAAATGCTTGTATAAAAGAAAAGGCAGATGAAAAATCCTAAAGAATCAGCATATATTAAAGGCAATTGGCTGATGGCAGAAGAAAGGCACCAGGAAAGAACGAGGACATGAACAAAGGATTGGCAAACGGGAAGACCTTGAGCTTGTTGAGGAGAATTCATTTCAATCACTTGACCAAAGTCTGTATAGTACTTAAGTGGAAAAAGTAATGAATGGATCCAATCTTCGGAGTTGCTGTCAAGATTGCTGAACAGCCGGAGAGGCCAGTAAAGAGAGGGTCTCAAACCTACACTGTGAGTGAAAGGACAAGCAGGACGAGACAGGCCAAGGGGTGACGAGGGGCTAGAGCAGAGGAGGCGATGGAGGCAGAGAAGGCAACAGAGACAGGGAGAAGGCAGGAGGGGGGGCATTGAGAATAGTTTCTCGTGAGGGTGAATGGCGGGGAGGTGGGAGGAGGAAGGAGGAGGAGGGAGGAGAGGAATTTGGTCTGGGCGTCAGCGTGCATTGCAGTGGATGGCTGGAGGTGGAGCCTGGAGGTGATGAGGGGGAGACCCCGGAGTTCTCAGCAGTAAACGGCAGATAAAGCCGCAGTGGTGGATGAGATCGCCTGGGGTGGCAGTGCACAGTGAGGGCAGAGAAGGGGCCAAGGAACAGAGACTCAGAGGAGGAAGAGCTGGTGAAACGCAAGCCTCAGGGAAGTCTAATGAAGTGATGTCACGGAAGTCACAGGAGTACAGTCACAGAAGGGGAGGGTCTCAGCGGGGTCAAATGCCACAGGACTAACCGGTGAGTGGGGTTACGAGAAATCACTAGTGAACCTGGAGCAAAGGCTGGTCTGCTGGAATCAAAGGGGGCTGGAAGGTGAGGAGGCAGACGTCAAGTGCTGACGACTCCCAAGAAGTCTGGTAAGGAAATGGGAATCACGGCCAACAAAGCTGTCAGGAGCCAAGGAGCTTCCCCTCGCAGGACAATCAGCAAAGCTCCATATGTCTGTCTCCAAACGACATCACACCTACTTCACTTCCACGGTCAAGTCCCACCTACGCTCTTGCACAATCTCCCGACAGGTCCTCTCCACGCTTGTTGCTCTTCCCACCCCCCTTGCCAGTTTCCACACAGAAAACAAACGTAAATCCCAGCTAAGTCTCTCTTCCATTCTACTTCAAATACCTTCTAAACTCCTACGTGATGTGATCTGACCCTCACCCACCTTCTCCACTCCACTGCCTGCTTGCCTCCCTTCGCCCACATGGTCTGAGTGACTGACCTTCCTCTGGAGGCTCGAACTCAACAAGCTGCTTCTTGTCTTAGAACATCTGGCCTTGCTGTTCACTCTGCACTTGTCACTCATTCCCTTTCTCATCATTCAGGCCCCAGGGCTCAAATGCCATTTCCTGGGAGAGGCCTTGGCAAGGTGGTCACTGCTTCTCTCTCAGTCACTCTCCTGCAAAATGTCCTGTTTTCTTTCCTTCACATTATCCATCATGACTGGAAATTATCCTGTTCATTTATGAACAGTCTGCCTGCCCACACGGGAACGCAAGCCCCACGTGGGCAGGGACTCTGTCCTATCCGCAGCTCTATCCCCAGGGCCTAGCAGTGTGTGTGGTATGCAAGGCCTCCTAAGAGTCTGGAAGGGATGACTGAATCTGCGGAATGAGGAGATGAATGGTTTGAAGACTCGAACACGAGGTGGGCAGAGTGTGGTCCTTGAGGAGGCAGGAACCGAGAGGAAGAATCCTGGCTGGAAGAGAGGAACCTCTCCCACTGGGGCACTCCACCGAGGGGGTGAGGGAGGGGACAGATGAGGCTGTACACCGTGGGGCAGAAACAGGAAAACATTCAACTACCTCTACACACATCAAAGAAAATAGAGTTAAAATAATAATAAACACGATAGAACATGTTAACAGAAACAAAAACCCTGCCATCCCGAGTACGGCAAGGTTATGAGAAAATGAGTACTGCTGACATAAAAACTGGTATAGCTTTTCTGAAACAGCAGTTTAACAATAATGTACTAAAAATGCAACGTGTATAATCTTTGACCCAGCAGTCTCACTTCTAGGAAATTATTCTAATAGAATGTAACAGTAGAAGTAATAGAGTAACATGACCATATGACCATATGGTGATTCCAGGTTGGTTTGGATACATTGTCATCTATCACTTAACCCTGACACTTACCCTTTCAAGTGCGTCCTGTTAGCGTTACTGTTTCATGGATGTAGAAACCAAGGCACTCAGTCTGGTTAAGTAACTTGGTCATATTAACTTCACTTTGAAGACTATACAGGATGTTCAGAGTGTTGTTCTTTGTGAAGATGAAAAATTGGGAATTACCTAAATGCACATCCCTAGGTATGGGTTATACAGTGGTATATACAAATAATGTGATACTATCTATGGTAACCATAGAAAATTATAATATACACTATAACAACTTATCAGAAAGGAGATTCATGACATGTTCCTGAGTGGAAAAAAAGCAAGTTACAGTACAGAAAATTAAGGATGCTCCTATTTATTTAAAATTGAAAACATGTACCTATCGGTGTACTATATATATTACACACATGTGTGTATATATATATATATATATATATATATATATGAGAGATGCCTAGCAGAACTTTCATTAAGTTATCATTATAATTTTTTTACTTTTTAAAATATATTTTATTAATTATGCCATTACAGTTGTTCTGTTTCTCCCCTTCATTCCCCTCCCCCCTGCACACCCCCTCCCCCACCATTCACCCTCTTTAGTTTATGACCACATGTGTGTCTCAAGTTCTTTAGATTCTATATTTCCCATACTTTTCTTGCCCCCCCATCAATTTTCTATCTACTGTCTATGCTACTTATTTTCTGTACCTTCTCCCCCCTTCTCCTCCTGCCACTCCCCTGTTGCTAATCCTCCTTGAGATCTTCATTTCTATGTTTCTACTCCTGATCCAGCTGTCCTTTTAGTTTGCTTTTGTTTTAGGTGTGGTTGTTAATAACTGTGAGTTTGCTGTCCTTTCATGTCACTGTTCATGTTTCTTTAACTTCTTTTTCTTAGATAAGTCCCTTTAACATTTCATATAATAAGGGCTTGGTGATGATGAACTCCTTGAATTTGATCTTATCTGAGAAGCACTTTATCTGCTCCTTCCATGCTAAATGAAAGCTTTGCTGGATAGAGCAATCTTGGTTGTAGGTCTTTGGTTTTCATGACTTGGAATACCTCTTTCCAGCCCCTTCTTGCCTGTAAGGTCTCTTTTAAGAAATCTGCTGACAGTCTGATAGGAACTCCTTTGTAGGTGACTGTCCCCTTAGCTCTTGCTGCTTCTAAGATTCTCTCCTTCATTTTAATCTTGGCTGATGTAATGATGATGTGCCTTGATGTGTTCCTTCTTGGGTCCAACTTCTTTGGGACTCTCTGAGCTTCTTGGATTTCCTGGAAGTCTATTTCCTTTGCCAGACTGGGGAAATTCTCCTTAATTATTTGTTCAAATAAGTTTTCCACTGGTGGCTGTTCCTTTCCCCCTTCTGGTACCCCTATAATTTGGATGTTGGAGCGTTTACAGGTGTCCTGGAGGTTCCTAAGACTCTCCTCATTTTTTTGAATTCTTGCTTCTTCACTCTTTTCTGTTTGGCCATTATTTGCTTTCTTCTGGTCCACTCCATTGATTTGAGTCCCAGTTTCCTTTTCATCGCTATTGGTTTCCTGTGCAATTCCATTCATTTCAATTAGTTTTGCCTTCATATGTTTCTCTAATTTGTGGCTATAATTAACCAGTTCTGTGAGGATCCTGACCACCAGTGTTTTAAACTGTGCGTCTGAGAGTTTTGCTATTTCTTCATTGCTTAGATTTATCGGCTCTGGGGCTTTGAGATCTTGAGCCATTTTTGGTCTGTTTGCACCTGTTAAGTATGAGGAGCAGAGCCTTAGACTCCCAGGTCGCTGGGTTGTGACGCTGTATGTGGGGGCGTGGTCAGAGCGGGGAAATGGCGGCGCCCTCTGCTGCCGCTCCCCGTGGGGCCTGCACAGTCCCGTAGTCTCACCGCCCACTCCCTCGCTTGTCTATCTGCGCAGAAATGTGCGACCACAGTCAACCCGCAGCAGCCCTGATCCCTCACTGTTTCCCCGCGGTCACTCGGTGAGTTGCCCACCAGGTCCAACCCTGCGCCTGGATTCTGCGCGCCTGAGTCCATCTGACCGAGTTTTTCTGTGAGACTCTGCTCTGACAGCTGCTGGTTTCGCCCCTCTTACCAGTCAGGCTGAAGAATGTGTTGTTAACAGACTTCTGAAAATTTCAATTTTCTGTGTTCTGGCTGTGTTTTCTGTTGCTAATATTGAGTTGTCTCTAAACTTGGTTGTGAGAGAAAGCACGGTATCTCTACCTATGCCTCCATCTTGGCGGAAGTCCTCAGATGTTGGAAAGTTTAAAGTTGTCTTAAAGGTTCCTAAGCCTCTCCTCATTTTTTTGAATTCTTGTTTCTTCATCCTTTTCTGTTTGGTCATTTTTTTTTCTCCTTCTGGTCCACTCCTTTGATTTGAGTCCCAGTTTCCTTTCCATTCCTATTGGTTTCCTGTGTATTTCCCTTCATTTCAATTAGTTTAGCCTTCATATGTTCCTCTAATTTGTGACTAAAATCAACCAGTTCTGTGAGCATCCTGATCACCAGTGTTTTGAACTATGCATCTGAAAGTTTGGCTATTTCTTCATCACTTAGATTTACCGGCTCTGGGGCTCTGAGTTGTTCTTGAGCCATGTTTTTTTTTTTAATATTTTATTTATTTATCTTTAGAGAAGGGAAGGAGAGAGGGAGAGAAACATCAATGTATGGTTGCGTTTGTGCATCCCCTGCTGGGAACTGGCCTGCAGGGAACCTGCCTGCAACCTGGGCATGTGCCCTGACTGGGAATCGATTGAGCCATGTTTTGATCTGTTCATGTCTGTTATGTATGAGGAGCGGAGCCTTAGTTGTTCACCAGGGCGGGGCCACCCAGGTTGCTGGGTTGTGATGCTGTATGTGGGGGCAGGGTCAGAAAGGGACAATGGCGGTTCCCTCTGCCGCTTCCTGCCACTGGGGCCTGCTCGGTCCATGTCACTGCTCACTCCTTCACCAGTTTATCTGCGCACGAATGTGTGACTGCGATCAGCCCTCAGTGGGTCCACCCGCTGCTTCTCCACACCTGGGATCTGCCCACAGCTGCTGGCGCACCTGGGTTGCGGCCCGGGTCGGTCCGGTGGATCTTTCCTGCCCGACCCTGCTCTGCTGCTGGCTCTGCCCCTCTTACTTGTTTGGCTGAAGGGTTCGTTGTTGTCAGACTTTTGCGTAGTTCAATTTTCTGTGGTTTGGCTGTGTTTTTGTTGCTAAAACTTTGTTATTTTTAAACTTGGTTGTGCGAGAAGGTGCAGTGCTTCCACCTACACCTCCATCTTGGCGGAAGTCATTATTATAATTTTTTTTTTTAAATAATGGAGACGATAAGAAAGTAAAAATCACCTCAAATCTTGCTACTGAGAGATGAACATGATTGATAAATACCCTTCTAGGCATCTTTTCATATTCATATACACATAATTTTTACTAAGAAAACTTATTTAGAATTTATATAGCAACATTTCCCAAACTGTATTCTTCTGAACATAAGCAATAATATGAAATATGATTTCTTATAAAAAATGAATTCCGTGGCCACTAAGTTGGGGAAACTGCATCAAACAATAGGAAAGAGATTTCCCTTTTGTGTGTGAACCTGCAAGACTAGGGGTAGAGGGTACAAGTGGCTCCGAATTATCTGACCTTGGAATGCATTAAGCTTTGACCTTCCACCCCAATCTCCGCTCGCAGCAGTGTGGTGTGTTTGTTGTTCTCAGCACATGCCTTCGGAGTGTTTACTCAAGAAATACTTCTTGAACATCTTCATGTATAAAACATTGCATGGTCTCCTTCCTTGCTCTTTCCAAATTTCTAATTTCATCGAAATCTTGCTTCTCCAATGAATCCATCTCAAGCTTCTTGGGTACACAGTGACTTCTTATGGCCAGGTGAGCAAGTTAAATTTCTAATTTTGCTCATGTTTTCCAAGATCATATTTGAGAGGAAAGTTACGAAATCATATGTCTCTGAATTACCCACAATGCTCTGTCCTCATGAAATGGTTACTGATGAAATAAATTAGAGCAGGAAATAACTGAGCTAAGAATGCTGAGCTCACGTTGCCAGAGCCATCGTTTGTCCGACAGTTGTTAATTCTGACTGCATGTTCTTTCTCGAAGAGTCCAGTTCTGTTTTACTTACAAGACCAACTGTTTCTTGCCTGTTATAAACAGCTTTACTGGATTCTTGTATTTTTTCTTATTTTTATTCACACAATTTCCTTTCCCTTCCATTTTCTGTCTATACCCTTAAACTACTGAGAAACCACTGGGAGAAAAGTTACATGTACGTAAATATATTTCCATATATTCCCACCTACCTCCGAAAAGGACCTGAAGTGGTTTACACTAAAAAGTCAGGTAAGAGCTAACAGTTATAGTTAGCTAACAGCACTTCGTAGGTCCCAGCACTGTTCCAAGAGATTTAAATCCACCGACTCCTCAGAACTATACTCTGAGGTAGGTACTATTATTTAAAACAAAGGCACAAAGTGGCCACGCAATGCGCCTGTGAGGGAAGAACTCCTAGTACCAGAGATAAGACTAGAACCCAGGCATCTGGCTTCAAGGCCTGTACTCTTCACCACTGCACGAGGCACATAAGACCTCAAACCACAAATAGTCAAGTCAAACCACAAAGGCTGTGGGCAGGAGGCAAGGACGCCTGATCACAGGAGAAGTTCCTTATGTCCAAATGCACACACTTCAAACATCCTACTGAGGCACTTGAATTAGGTGGAAAATTTTGAATATCTTCCTGATTCTTAGATAAATATTTAAATTTACTGCCACAATGTGAGGGCAGTCTTATCGATTACTGTCTCATTTTCAATTACCTAGAAAAACCAAAACCAGCCTAGAGAAAGTCAGGCTGATAAGGAGCATCTACTCAAAACACTGCCCTCTGCTGATTTGTGCTGTCTAAAATATGCAGCATTCGATTGTTAGTTGGGTTAAACCATTGTTTCTGAAAAGTTCTATCAAGGTTAAATGTAAGTCACTACTCACACATATTAGTATCTCACCAGGAGTTGGCTTCAGAGTACAGCTGGTGAATTAATACCTAGTCAGACGCAGAGCGTGTGGTTATTAACTCTGGTTGCACAACACTCACCTGGGGGGCGGTAGGGAATACTGACAATGACCTCAGAGCCTCGGAGAGGAGAGATGGAGAGTGGGCACCAATGTTTTTCGAAACCTCCTGAAATAATTTTACTAGCAAGTCAGGGTTGCAATGGCTCCTTGTGGGGGATGTGACGCCAGGCAGAAAGGAGCACGGGAGCTCGGAGAGTGTCCGAATTATAGCTGCTGCCCAGGAAAAGGTCTCAGGTAACATTTCAGAAGTTAGGTAACTGCATTAACAGAGCAAGTTCCTTAGAAATAAGGTAATCCAAAAAGAAATCAGGAGCACCCAGCAGTAAGAACGAGGTGAGATGCCTCTTAGTTGAACTAAGACTTCCCATGAAGCTTTACTTCTCCTTACAAAATGTCAGCCCTGACACTAAATTTCTCCGCCCCAGCACACATGGTTCACTTTTTCCACTGGTGACATGATTTACATACAGGCTCTCGAACATTTATGTTGTCCTGCTCTGTCCAATGCTCAGCTGCAACTATTTAATAAGAATTGACCACTTACTCATGTCCTTTCAGTCCTCTACACACTCTAGGTCCTCTCCTTACTCTAATGCAATAAACGATCATAAAAATACAGATTCGGGACTTACTGTTTGAACTTCTCAAAGCAACACTTTCACTAGATTACATTCCCCAAGGTCAACCTTAGAGACCATAACACGAAGAACACTCAGCACTTTCTTTTCACCAACAATAATAAAGGCATTGTCCTTCCTGTGTCACTGCACGGTCCTTCTGTGACTGCTCTGCTGTCTAGCAGCTGCGTGATCTTGAGAAAGTTCGTCTTTCTGGGAACCAGATTCCCACCTGTGAGGTGCAGGGGATTAACACACTGGATGCAGGGTTTTGTGCTGATTAGAAGTGAATATGCAAGTTACCTGGTTCACTGACTGACATGTAGGTCACCATTTCAGGTACACAAATTTCCGTCATTAACAAATAAAATAACTTTTTTCTGAATGAAACATAGTGTGAGATGATATGGGATATTTATTTCAACGATAAATTTCTGATTTAAAACCTTAGAAAATTAAGCTACAAAGACTCAAGGAAATTACTAAAATTCAGTAAAATCTACACTGAAGAGCTGTGATACATTTTGTTTAAGTGTCCAATAGCTCACAATCATGGAAATAAACTCAACACCTTACCTTTCCATTTCTCGTAGAATGCTTTTGATGTCTTTTCCTAACTTAAACTTTTTCCCAAATGGAATGTCAGAAATAATAACATCAACACTTTCTGGAGGCAACGGCAATTCTGAAACACAGAAATTAGAGCATCCTATTCAGTAAGTTCAAGTATTTATAATCTAAATGTGAGAAAATTAAAGTACACAGGACTGTGTTTTCATATTAAATAAAATTTAGGGTGGCTAATATTATTTCTAAGAAATTACAAGTTTCTGAAAGGCATTTAGAATTACTGAAGATAAATGGTACAGTAATTATAGTCCATTCTTTGAAAATTGGTTTTCCAGGTATGATGAAATATGACATAAGTAAGCAGAATTTTAAATTAAGCAGAAATTCAATTCTCTAAACATATTACATGACTAGAAAATTGTCAGTACCGACAAGAAATACATTACGTTGTCTACAAGAACTTCTTACAAAAATTATACTCTGTAGCTTTCATTTTTCTTTTTACAGTTATGTATAAAATTTTGCATGTATAGATCTATTTTTAAGTATTTTTATTGATTATGCTATTAGTTTTTTTCCAATTTCCCCCCCTTTATCCCCCTCCTCCACCATGCCCTGCCAACCCTCCAGCATCCCCCCCTTAATTCATGTCCATGGGTTGTACATATAAGTTCTCTGAGTCCTCTGTTTCCTACACCATTTTTTATCTTTCCCCATCTATTTTATGTCTACTAATTGTGCTTCTTTTGTGTGTGTGTGTGAAGAATGCTGTCGGACTCCTTCCCCAGCAGCCTAAGTAAGAGGTGGCCCCAGACACCTCAGCGACCATGGGAAGGCTTCTGATGCCCACCCCTGGTCTTGGTCACCTTCTCCATGGAGCTCCATGGCTTGTGCTGAGAGGAGAGACAGAGGGAATTAGAGAAGAAAATAACACTACAAAGGCTGTCACCTGTCTTTAAAAGCTTATAAATAGATGAACCTTTGAGGTCACCAAGTCCAGTGAATGCAGGGATCCCCCTACCACATCCCCCAAAGGGTTACTGCAGCTTTGCTCGGGCAGTTCCAGTGCCAGGGAGAGCGCTGGTGGATTTACCAGTGAGCATCCCCACACTTTGATTTTATACACATCTTAGCGAATCTACAAAAGATTCCTAAAAGGGGACTGCTGGTCAAAGCTATGTCTGTTTTGCCCTGGCTGGGCGGCTCAGTTGGTTGGAGCATCACCCCATACACCAAAGGTTGTGGGTTCATTTCCAGGTCAGAGCACATACCTAGGTTGCGGGTTCAATCCTGGTTGGGGCATGAATGGGAGGCAACTGGTTCATGTTTCTCACATTGATGTTTCTCTCTCTCCCACCTTCCTCTCTCTCTAAAAGTAATAAACATATCCTTGGGTGAGAATATGAAAAAGCTATGGCCCCTTTACATTTTAATAGCTACCAACAAATTGTGTAACCTGTGTACAAAGCATGCTGCAATGCCATAGATTTCTACAAAAAATCAGTTCCTGGCTCACGTAAAGGGCTTTCTCATAGTTAAAAATGTCCCACAACAGACCAGACTGCCTGGGTCCACAGGAGCATGTAAGTGTTCCCAAACGGAATGTCCGACCGGCATGTCACTGACAGCATTACGACAACGGGTACGGGTCAGAGAAGCTGACATCTAAGGGATCTCGGGTATTCAGAAGCACTCAGGACCTCCCCAGTGTCAGGGCCTCCGCATAGTGGCTCATCTGGCCTGAGCCCTCCCACATGCCGTGTTTCCCAGTCAGCCTAGGAGAGCAGCCTGACAACAGCCGGGGGTTGCTGTCCTGATGCACTCAGGCCCCACTGAGAGTCTGCAAACACTAACTGCTGGGCTCTGCTGGGCTCTCCGGTCCTCTGCCTCCAGCACAGGGATGTCCATCCTGTGACAAGCTGGTGCCGGTCCACTGGTGGTCTCTGGAAGAACACCAGGTCTTCCACGTGTGCAAACAGATCTCCTTTTGCATCTGAAGGGGGGCATAATTGTAGGCAAAAAGCACAGCCAGTGGCAAGCTTTAGGTGGAGCCGTTTTTTCTCACGACTGTAGATGGATAACTGCATGAACTTCAAAGGAAGCAGCCTGGTTAGCTCCAGGCACTTGGCTGACTTGAGTCCCTGTGCCAGGGTGTGTCGGTCATGTCTGACGTAGACTGCACAGCTGAAAGCTGGCCATGCCAGCAGCAGGACATCAGGTATTATGAGGTCAGGGCTGGTGTATGCGATGCCACAGTGACCACTTACACACCTCGTGCATGTTGATTACTTGTCCTCTTTTGCTGGTCTGGATGCAATTACTCTAAATGTGGGGATGTGCTGGAACACGGTGAACCTGTCCTTGCACAGCTGCCCCTGCAGCTTCCCTGTGGACCTGCGGACCATGGGCAGCATGCAGCTGCCCTGGCTGCCGCCCTGCCATAGCGTCCTGTTGCTACCCGTGCTTCTCATGCGGGGCTGCTGCACCTCTGCCTGGTCTCAGCCATAGCCCCTGAGGGCCGCCTATAAGTTTTTGCTGTCCATTGTGACCTGCATCAGCTGTCACACAGTCACACAGATCTCCTCGTTCTCATCCCCACAGCTGTCCCCACGGGCAGGAATAGTGTCTTCCTGCAGACAGCCACTGCCCAAGGGCTTCAAGAGTAAGTACCAAATTCTTATGTGTTTTGCATGCGACACACACGTATGCTCCTTCAAGGCCCCTTGATTTCATGCAGCTGCCACAAGCAATGGTGGGTAGGTTATCAGTGGTCACAGGAAAACTATCTTTTATTAAATCTATAAAGGTGATACTAATTAGGTGGCAAATACTTAAGGCTTTATAAGATTTGAATGTATTTTTGACCTTTTGCTTAATATTTTCTTTTATACTTATCATAGAATTTCTGTGAACCGTGAACTTTGGAATTTAATAATGTACACAAAGGTTGAACAGGGAATGCTTTACTAAGAATCTCCTTATCCTTCTCAAGCCTGCATCTAGTTGTAGATGTCTATAAACGCCTTTCTAAAAAATTTAAAAGAAAAAAGAGCAAAATTCATTGAAGAGGAGTCATTTGACTTAAATAAAAAGGCATGGTCCCCAGGGCGCTGTTTGGGTGCATTTTTCTCCGCTGCCTGTGAAAAGCAGCTGGCTTTGGGCTCAGTGTCCTTGGAGCAACCAGTCCGTTTTGGAGTAAATTCTAGATGCTTCCAGAAAGAGATCTGTTTTGTCTGGTCAGCGATATCATGGTGGCCTCACAGTGGATGGGAAATGTCAACAAACATTCTATTCAAGAAGTGTTCACCATCAGCTTTGGTGAGCAATGAAAACTCAGTACAGCAGATCCTGGAATGAGGTTATTTCCCGTAGTACCATTTTGTTATAAAGCAGATGAGATGCTGCAGAGACCTGACTCTTGCTTCTATCAATTAACCTGTGGTAGAATTGGTTTTATTAGACATCATTTTGCTGTGGTTCCAAGAACCTATCAACATTGAGTGAACTTACTGTATTTACTTTTTCATTAAATACGCACTTAAAAACACATATTGCTGTAAAACGTTACAGAATAGCAGTGTTGCCAAACAATGAAAAAGTATTCACATAATAAATGACAGAGCCATTGTAGCAAAAACACTCAGCTCCCTGCGGTAAGCTTCTTATCCTCTATTTCCTACACATCTTTCACAGAAACTTAACTCACTGTGTCCCACATTTGCTTCCTGTTCTCTGCCCCCCTCCCATAGGAAGCCTGACAGCCTCATGGACCTTGCAGAATACAGCCTGGGCCACAAGACACCTGGCTGAAACTCTGGGGCCAGGAAGGGTATTACAGGAAAACTCACTAACACAAAAGAAAATGTAACCAGCGCAGCATGAGGATGCTGAAACCACGCTGGCCTCACTCCTACCAGGGTAGAAATGAATGACACCTGAGAACAAAGCAATGGTTACCAATAATCTTGTTATAACTCTTTCACCGAAGAAATGTACAACAGGCTATAGAATGTCTAATTCAAGGAGTGAAAATGTCCTCCCTTTTTAATCTGCACATAGTTTTGTGATTTTAACTAATAATACATTTGTTTCTTTTGCTCAAATCTGTAAATATTATAGGGCTCCATCTGATACTAAAAATGATATCTATAGATTAGAAAAAAAGCCTAACCAATGTCTATTCATTTCCTAAGGCAGCCTTTAATATAATACCATTTGGCTCCAAACTTTCATGATGATTAAACTTTAGGGATAAATACATTAATTTCTTTAGATTTTATATTTAAAATTTTTAATTTTAGAAAAATTAAAACATATACAAAAGTAAAGAGAATAGTACTATTAAACTCCATTACCCAGCCCCAACAATGTTCAACTCATGGTCAATCTTTTTTTCCAATTTATTTTTCAGTTATAGTTTCCTTTCAATACTATTTTGTATTGGTTTAAGGTGTACAGCATAGTGCTTCAACAATCATACACTTTCAAAAAAACACATGTAATCTCTGTATGGTAAAGAACCACCTTCTTTGGCATGAGTTAAGGGTCATAAAATAAAGTGAGTATTACTGAAATTAGAAATAGTAGTCACAAAAGCACACAAAAAGAATGAAGGTGGTGATTCCGCAGAGACACAAGTCCTGATAGGAGTGTGCTAGCGTCCTGAACAGCCCCATGCCTGCAGGTCTGTAACTCAGGCGGTGAGTTTGGCACCACACAGTGTGTGCTCCTGTAATAAACCCTCACTCCAGCTCTGGGAGGAGGGTGTTACCTTCACGCTATAGATGAGAAAGTGCAGAGAGGTCCAGTCCTTTGCTGAAGGACATGCAGTTTAGAAACGATGGTGGAGCCAGAATTCACACTCAGTCTCTTTGAATCCAAAGTCCATGCCCGCACTTACTATAGTAGAAAGGTGTGCCATCTGCACCCCTGTCAATGTTGAACAAGGGGTTCATGGGTATCAACAAAGGAAAAACCAAACTAGTGAGGAAAAGAAACACTGTGTGAAGTGATCTTAAGAAAGCATGGTCTTTCCAATGCTTAGGAAAACTATATAAATGCTGTTCCCAATCATGAATCTTTTGAAAAATAAAAAAGTTACAATTAAAATATTGGAAGTAAACTGAGTATTAGCCTCACCAATAGATTACAAGGTATAAATAATTCACTGTTTATGGGGAGTCTTATTTTATATTATAATTCCAAAGATACTTATATAAGCTCACCTTTCCAAATATTTGCACTTTTCATGTCTTACCTACAACAGAGACTTTCAGTAGCGCAATTTTATCCTCAAGGCCTGCAGCTTTCAGGTTGTCACGGGCACCTTGGAGCTGCGAGTCGCTGACGTCAGCACCCACATAGTACGCTTCCTATGAGGAAAGAAATTCATATTTAAGTATAAATAAAACTATCAGGAAAGAAATTCATACTTAAGTATAAATAAAACTATCAGATATTTTCCGTAGTTAAGAAAACCTATTGACATTTTCTCAAATGGTGAAAGTGCAATTAATAGATGTGTTAATCCAGGTTGAAATGAATTCATCAGATTTCTTTAAAACAATATTCAATAGCAAAAATTTTTGTTAACAATTTAAAATCTATTAAAATATTTTACAGTTATAAATGACTACAGAATTTGGGGATTAGCATAATCTGTCATGACTAATCACTGGAATTACATTGTACTAAACTTATTATACTATTAAAAATAACACAGCAATTTAATTAATAAGCCATTTCATAGTAGAAAATAGTGATTCAGATAATTAAAATAATAGCCCCCAAAAGGCAGCCTACTTGTAAACAATCAGTAAGTAAACATACATATCGATGTACCAATCGATGTAAATATATTTCTTAGTTTACCAAAGTGTAGAACTTACCGGCCACTCTGTAGCGGCTTCCAGAAGTATTGTTCCAAGTCCACACATTGGATCTAAAACCAATGCACCAGCCTGGGAACAGAAATGCCGATTTGGTACTATTAAGTCTACTGTAATAGGGTATTATAGAAGAAACACAAACCTGGAGGAATCAGTACTTTAAGAGTACTGGTTCCTGTTTACACTTTCGGAATTTCAGGTAGTTAATGCTCCGAGGCACGTGTATGCTGGGCCTGTGTACATATTAGGCAGGACGGGGCCAAAGCACAGTGAGCGAGAGGGAACACGGGGATGCTGTCGGGGGGCAGGAAGGCAAGCCCGTCGAGGCAGGCTGGCTTACGCTGCATGTAGTAACAAGCTCCGGATCTTAGAGGTTTAAACAGCAGGTAACCTCATGCTGCCTGCCCATAGTAGGGCACCTGGGGCTTTTGCTCCTTAGTCTGGAAGTCGAATTGAACAAATGGTCACCATTTGGAGCACAGCCGTCATTATGGCAGAGGGAAAAACAGCATGACAAGTTATGCATTAGGATTTAAAGGTGCCATCTGCAAGTGACACATATGTTCACCAACATTTAACCAGCTAAAGCATGTCAGTCACATGACACACCCAATTACAAGGGGCCAGGAAAGTGTAATTCTGTCTGCGCCTGGGAACAGAACAGGATATCTGGAGAAAAACACTAGGCACTCCCATTCTGGGGGTTGCATGTCAGATCTGGTAGGTACTGTGAGGATTCTGGTTCTATTCTGAAAGATGGGAAACTCTTAGAGAGTTCTGAGCAGGGAAGTAACAAGACATTACATTTCAAAGGGATCATTCCCGATGATCTGTGAGAAGAGAACAGAAGAACAAGAGTGTTAAGAGGGAGGCTACTTAGGGGATCCAGGAGATGACAGTAGCTTAAATCAAGAGTGGTACTGGTGGAAGTGGTAAGAGCTGGTTGGACTCCAGGTATATTTTAAAGGCGGAGTCAACACGGTGGGCTGGATATGGAGTGCTAGAGAACGGCAGCACCTGAGAGGCATAAAGTTTTTGACCTGAGCAACTGGAGGAGGAGAGGTGCCCATTAGTGAGATGGGAAGACTCCAGGAGGAGAAGCTTCAAAGGTGACAAGAGTATAGTTCCAGACGTGGTAATTTAGAGATACATCCTGGACCACCTATGGAGACCAAGTGAGCCATTGGACACAGAAGCCTGGAGTTCAGAGGACAGGTTCAGACCATAGGTGTAAATGTGGGAGCAGTCAGTGTCAAGTCTATGAAGGGTATTCAAGGAACCAGAACCAGATGAGGCACACAGAAGCAAGAGAAGTTAAAATAGAAGATCGTCTATGGGTTGGACCCGGATGATCTCGTAAATACAGACGTTTGGTAGACAACCTTTCGGCAACACATGCTGAGCATTGCACGTGCTCAAGGACGGAGAAGAACCCAGTGTAGTGTTCCCAAAACAAAGTGGACAAAACCATTTCAAGAAGGAGGGCGCTGCTGGTGACGAAGGGCTGACGGGTTCAGTGTGAGATGAGTGGTCTCGGTGGAGCTGCTGCTGGAGCCCAAAGAGGGTGGGCACAAGTGAGAGGGAGAGGAAAAGAGGTCGGGCGGCAGGTGTGGGCAGCTAGTTTCAAGAGTTTTTCTGTAAAAGGAAACAAAAGAATGGGGGTGGTAGCTGAATGAGCACGTGGGTTCAGGAGAAGGTTATTTTTTTAAAGTTGCAAGATATTATAGCGAGTGCACCTGCTGATGAGAATGGCCCAACAGAAAGTCCGTTGTAGGTAGGCAAGAGGGACTGGCACCCAGGCCACAGGCAGTGGAGAGCAGCAAGGGCAATGCACATGACGGAACAGCAATAAGGCAACGTAAGTGGGCGCAGATTCCGGTACGCTGGCAGATTTGGTGAGGAGATCATGGTGAATATTTATGTCAAATAAGAATCAAGAGAGTTAAAAGTATGGGCAAAGGAATGACTGTAATGGCAGAAAATAAAATCCAAGCTGTGAGGGAGGGACGAGGACAGTGATGAATACTGGGCAGCGTTAGGGTCAAAGGCTGGTGGTCCCAAGGGGTTACTGAACTGTCTTAGGGTGCTGGAGGACGCGAACAGGAAAGAGAAGGTGGTTAACAGCAGGCTTTGTGAAGGTGAGATTTTGGGGAGGCATTCCCTTCTGAGTATGATGGGGTCCGGGGTGTGCCTCAGGCAGGTCATTAGAGGTAAGGAAGCAGAAACTTGGATGGGTCAGGTTATGGAGTGCATAGTGAGACCATAATTAGAACAAGAATGGCCTCTATTCTTATAGGAATGCTAGGAAGAGATCTGTGTATGACTGTAATAATCCGGTGGCATGTGCTCCAAAGGCACTGAGAGATTTTGGGCAGAAAGAACGAGGAGCAAGCAGGACACCTACCCCACCTCCAGTCCCAGTGGTCCTTCAATTGGTCTGCAGAGGAAGCAGAGTGCTCAGTGGCCAGTCAGGTTTCTCTCTGCCAGAGAGTACTTAATGGAAAGGACCAAAATGTCCCGAGAGAGAGAGAGAGACAGAGAGAGACAGAGAGAGAGAGAGAATTTCAGAAGCAGAAAAAAAAAGTAGTTTTAGGTTCAAGTCTCTAATGCAAAGCAGTTGAGGTAATAATAATTAAAAAGTGAGAAAAAGTGGCTGAGCTAGAGAAATAATAATAAAAATTTTACAATTATTAGAATCCAAATAAGTATTATGACTATAATTATTACTATAGCAGTAGTTAATATTATATGCTTCTAATGGCAGGCACTGTTCTAATCACTTGATAAATGCTAATTCATTCCATTCTCACATGGCCTTATGAAATTATTCTTTTCATCTTGTAAGTGAGAAACTGAGGCATAAAGATGTTAACTATCTCGCCCAAAGTTTCCCAGTCAGCAAATGGTGGAGCAGAATTAGAACCCAGGCAGTCAGACTCCCAGATTAGGAGCTGGACAGAAAAGACATGCAAGTATATTCTGGTGAGAATCCTGGCCCTTACAGAACTAAAGACAAAAGTCTTACCAGTTTCTGAGCAGAAAGAACAAGGTGGTGATAAGGGAAGAGAAAATCACTCTGGCACAGAGAACTCGGCTCTCACACTGGCAGCTAAAAGGCAACGGGACAGCACAGACAGACAGACAGCTGAGAGAAAAGAAATGCAACTCCAGCCGAGATGGACACACCGGGGATGAAAGGAAGAGACGTGAGGATTACGGACATCCAGGTGGTATATACCACTACAACACCGCATGCGAGGAACATACTCACGGGAAGACCGTAACCCAGCAAGAAGCAGACCAGGGCAGGGGCCCTCCCTGGGGGCACGCAACATGACAACCCACAGCGAGGACCGACACCCTCTGCAGCACACCTCTGTGTGCTTGCACAGAAATGCGTTCGTTGTACATGATTTGACCAATGATTAAGGGCAGGCTGGGAATACAAGTGCTAAATAAGAACTGTGGAAACAGACAAGACATGCTTCCAGGGAAATGTGATACATGACCAATGATTTAGGTCAATCTAGTAGCTGGGGGTTGGTTGGGAGTGAAAGAAGATAAAATGTTTCTAAGGTCTCACTGTAGGAGGAGTAACGGTGGGTCAGGAGGAGAGGAAACAGCCTGGAGGTCTCATCTTATGATAGGAAAGAAGGGGAAGATGAGAGTGAGTGTCTTGGTAGTAAAACCTATCTTGTCAGAGGAAGCAGTAGATCTCTTGTTGTTAAGTAACAGCAGGGTCCTATGTGTTTCAATGAGAGAGCCGGGAAAGGGAACCATTCATGGGCTGGAACAATAAGGTACAATCTCCAACCTCAGGGAGGAAAATGAAATGATTACGAAGTGACTTGGTGAGACCAGCAGAAATGAAAAGAGTAAACTGTAAGAAGTGGGAAACAGAGTGAAACAGGAGAAACACAGCCAGGTGTGTGTCACAGCACTGAACTCTTTCTTCAGAAGCCCGAGACCATCACAGTGGGACACAGCCATGTGAGTGTCAGAAAGTGCACTGAAAACAAAGCTGACGATGGGGGAGTCCCTAAAATATTAGGAAATGCAAAGAAAGGAGTGAAAATATTAATAACACATGGTGAAATTTAGGTTTTAACTCACTATTCTAGGCAAAGAGAACACATGTAATTACTAAAGGCACCTCTCATGGTGAAGCAGGAGCAGACGTGTGTATGTAGCAAACTATAAAGCAGCTGAATAAGGCAGCTAATAAAAATGCAACAGCTTTAAAAATGTCAATGATATTTCAAATGCCTTTCAAAATTAAGCAGATAGTAAAATAGTAAGTAAAGATACAGAGGACACTGACTACAAAATACAATTTTTTTCTTATGCCCATGGAACATTTCCAAAAAATAATCAAGATCTTGGTCACAGGAGAAAAGTTAAATTTTAAGAAGCAGGGGCTTCACAGGCCATGTGACTGTGACACAAAACATTGGAAAGAATAAAATGTGGCCATCCTTTTAGCTTTTTCATAGGCAAAATGCTCTTGGAAATCCAACAATACATAAAAACATCACTGCAGAACTTTGTAAGGGTAATGGCAGCAACAACAACAGCAACAAAAAGCAGCAAGAGAAAATGATAAAAGAAAGGCGGAAGAGGAAAAAAAAAGCAAGCAACCAAGATGTCCATAAGTAAGAGACTGTGTAAGTTAATTATGGAAAGGACCTCGCTATCGTAATAATAGGAGCATTTTCCTTGCCTTAATTTCAGCGACGGAGGCCATCGCCCACGCTATGGTGGACCGCAGCCCTGCCGTCCTGATGTAAGCTCGGCTGGCCAAGGGAGCCCTGCGGGGAGAGAGAGAGGACCCGATGACACGGCCACTGCTACTGTACGTTAAAGAAGAACCTGATTGCAGACAGAAATGAGTGGCCTGCCCGTACCTGTGAATCACCTCATCACGTTCACACAACACACACTGCATATTCCCCAAGCTGGGAGTACCTAACCTTACAAAAATACCTTCTGTACTTGGCACCTTGTTTAATCAGGTAGTGCGGTGCTTTAGAAAGGTAACATTTTTAAATGATGGAAATTTAAGCCCTTCTGTGTTTAACTTACACAATTTAATCACACGAGGGTAGTTTTGAACAAGTGTTTAAGTACTTCCCTGTTTTCCCTTCGTTTGCTGATCTGGAGTCACCAAGAAGAACAGGCGGTTTTGTGACAGATGCGGCACGGGAGGAAGGACTGGATGGGTGCTAACCCCTGAAGTGCGTTTTCTATTAAAAGTCCCTTGTGTAAGTGTGCTGTTTGCTCATTTGCATCTTTCTGCGCAGATGAAACGAAGCGCGACATCGCACTGTTCGCGCCGAAGCAGCCGTCTCCCCGACGCGTTCTCTGGGCTCCATCACGTCTGCCTTCCTACCTCACCCCTAGCTCATCAGTGCTACTATCGGTGTTTCCAGATTTGGTAGAAAATTTTAAAATATTATTTCTACGTGGCTAATGCAATGAATGAGCATTCCCTTAGAAATTTTAATGTACTTTTCTACTTCATTTACACAATTTGTTGCTAAGATATGAAGACGTGATGTCAAAAATCACTGCTTGACTGTTTCGGGGGCAGGCCTGTTTCAAACCCTCTAAGAGGGTTCCTCTCTGAACGTCGTTCGAAGTCACAGTGTTCCCCAAACCCTGTCTCTTTCCTCGTCGTTTCTGATCTTTGCTTTTGTTACCTTGTTCTCTGCATATTTACTTTAAACCTCTTAAAATCTTATAATCAGATGAAGTATCTTTTTTTAAAAAATATTTTATTTATTTATTTTTAGAGAGAGGGGAAGGGAAGGAGAAAGAGTGGGAGAGAAACATCCATGTGTGGTTGCCTCTCATGTGTCCCCTACCGGGGACCTGGCCTGCAACCCAGGCATGTGCCCTGACTGGGAATTGAACCAGCAAGCTTTTGCTTTACAGGCCCGCACTCAATCCACTGAGCTACACCAGCCAGGGCTAAGATGAAGTATCTTTTTCAAAAAAACAGTATAATAGTATATTTACTGTTACAATGAGGAAGCTCTGCATGGTAAACCCATGGGAGTTTGATTTTTTAAAGGTTTTTTAAAAAATAACTCACATTGCAGCCCTGGCCAGGTGGCTCAGTTGGTTGGAGTGCCGTCCCATACACCAAAAAGTTATGGGTTCCATTCCAGGTCAGGACACACACCTAGGTTGTGGGTTTGATCCCCAGCTGGGTAGCTTATGGGAGGCAACTGATCAATGTTTCTCACACTGATGTTTCTCTCCCTTCTTCTCTATCTAAATCAATAAGAAAAAACATATCCTCTGGTAAAGATGAAAAATAATGATTCATATGCAGATAGCACTATTCACAGATATAGAATATGGAATATAAACTTTGCAGGTGGAATGACTAGAAATATTTTGCTCAGTGAGTTTTGATATTACAGGCTAGTCTTGACAACTGTCTTGCTATAAAAAACACATTAGTTAAAACCAGAATTGAGAGATTGTTTTTCACTCTAGGCACCAAAAGAAGAGACTTGGTATGGAAAACTGTCTTTGTCCATATTGGTAAGTGCCTTTTTGAGTATCAGGAATTTATATAGATAACCTTTGAAAATTTTGACAATTATATGTATGTTTTGACCAATAGAGGTTTTATTTATGGAAGCCAGCCCTATTAATATGTAACTAAAGTGAATGTGTTCTTATTTTTCATAAACCTGGACAAATGGTCTGCTTTTACTTCAACAAAAGGGCCCATTACATCAATCTAATAAAATTATTTAGGAGAAGAAAATTTTCAGAAATAAACTCCTTGAGCCCTGGCTGGTGTGTCTCAGTGGACTGAGTGCAGGACTGTGAACCAAAGGGTCACCGGTTCAATTCCCAGTCAGGGCACATGTCTGGGTGGCGGGCCAGTTCCCCAGTATGGGATGTGCAAGAGACAACCACACACTGATGTTTCCCTCTCTGTAAAAATAAATAAATAAAATATTAAAAAAGGAAATAAACTCCTTGAAAATAAAAATATTTCTCTGTCATAGAATCTGGCTAATGTGTTTAATCAGATTTTGAGTTGACTTTTACATAATATGAATATAAATGTGGTTTTGATCCTCTTCTCCACATATAAGCATTCCTTCTTTATTCTATTACACACCGTCTATTACCAAGACAGACACTCATTGACATTTCTAGCCGAGACTTGTCATCTGAATCCGAGATCTTTATTTTTATTTTATTTTTTAAGATTTTATTTATTTTTAGAGAGAGGGGAAGGGAGGGAGAGAGGGAGAGAAACATTAATGTGTGGTTGCCTCTCACGTGCCCTCTACTGGGGACCTGGCCCGAAACCCAGACATGTGCCCTGACTGGGAATCAAACCCTAGGCCCTTTGGTTCACAGTCTGGCACTCAATCACTGAGCCTTACCAGCCAGGGCAAGGTCTTTATTTTTAAGTGCATTTGCACACTTTTTTACCTACCTAGACTACCGCAAATTCAACAGGTGTAAACTGAGCACACCTCTTTCACTGTATTTCATATCTCGATACTTTTTTTTCATTTTCTTGGGCTACTTTCCATCTATATACTGGGTACCTCAACCTACACGTCCAGCTTAGACTGTCACCGGAACTCCTGAGCTATAACTTGAAATATCTACTCAGACACTGCTCCCCGAATACACTGCCTTCCCTACATTCCTCCCCAGTGACACCGGTATCTGCTAGCTGTCCCAATGTCCAAATCAGGTATCGGACACCTGCTCTAGACTCCTGGACGTTTCATCGAGGCCACGGCCTCCTCTTTGTTAGCCCCTATTCTGCCTCACAGTCCGGCTCTTCATCACTCACTGCCTGAACTACCGGAAGAGTTTAAACCTCCTTTTTCCTTTTATTTCCCTTTCATTTAAAGATATAATTTCCTTGGCAACATCTCAAAAATCACCAATCTGCTCACATCACTCTGCTGCTTCAAATATTTACTGCTTTTTAAACAAAGTCCAAGGTGTTTAGCACAGCCTACAAGACTCTTGACTTGTTTCTAACTGTTCGGTCTCATTTTCTGCCACTGTGTGTTCCGTGTCCCATCTAGGCTGAAACTGCTGTCTGTCCCCATATAGATCAAGCTATCTCACACCTCCATGCCTTTGCACACGCAAACCCTTGCTTGCGAGGTCCTTTCCTTCTCTTGTCCATTTGGGGAACCCTTCCTAGTGTTCTCAGTGTAAGTGATCCTCCTCCATTCTCCATTTAAGCGATTCATTAAGTGATTCTCCTCCACGTTCTTTTGTTTACCATCTTCCACCAGAGACAGGTCCCCTTTTCTGACTCCAATCGAGCGTCTGTCACCTATCTGTTCCACCACCAAACTGAATGCCTTGAATTTAATAACCATCTTCCTCACCTTGAACGTCTAGCATAATGTTTAGCTAAGTATTCACTAGGTGTTACAACAGAAATTAATTGAATAAATTAATCCTAGTCTAATAAATGTTTTTCCTTTTCCTCCCTGGTTGCTGATCTGTTTCAGAAATAAAGAGTTGAAATTTTTCAACACTTACTGTGTCCTAGAAATAGTACCAAGCATTTTCATGTAGGTTATCTCATTTGAGCCCACCCACAAAGCAATGAAGAAGGTAGCATTATTTTCCTGACTGTACAGTGGAGAAATATGATAATCTGCCAAGACTTGCAGTTAGTCTGTTCAAAAGGCAGAACTGAAGCCCACAGTTCTTATCCACTGTGCCAGACGTGTACAGTGTGGCATCGCTGGACACAGTTCATGTTCGAGATGAATTTTAAGAATGATGCTGTTTTGTCTATTTTAATTAAAATTCTAAGATGCCAACAGACTAAAAATTTCAGCTTAAATATGGGCTGGCAAAAAATCACTTCATAAGAGAAATAATTAGATATAATTTTAAGTACAAATCATATAATCAGTGGATTACTGTGATAAAATCTTTCATAGCTTTAACTGGTCAGATCAGATCATACCCACTAAGCTTCATGAAAACGCACTCCTGGCTGAAGTAAAGAACTCAAATGCTTTGCCTAAGCCCCTCTGTTACATCAGTGTTTCACACTGGAAATGCAGAGCATAAAGTCCTTACTTTTACAAACTCTCCTGTGGGACAAACCTGAAGCTTGGAATATAATACGTACCTGAACACGGGAATTCCCACGATGGAATAAAGGTCATTCAGGTGTATAAAGATCTGAAAGAACAAATACATAAAAATGGACCAGGAAATGGATTACCAAATTACTGATAATTTGAAAACTTCCATTTTGAACTAAATAAGGCCTAGGTGATATATATGGAAAAATGTTCCACAATATTTTTCTTAAGACGAGGTGGAGTAAGTTTTAAATATATTTCATAGAAAAACTTGAGGTTAATTCAGTATATACATTATATGGAGATTCATGTTATGAAGAACTCAAGACTAACTTTCTTCCCAAAGATTCTCTGAATGATCATAACTGGATCAGACTTCTCAGCATTGGGATTAGGGGAGACTTCCTAAGTCCCCCCTGATTTTAACCTCAAATAAGAGTTGAGGCACCGAAGCCACACAGCTACATACTTTTGGTGTAACAGAAAACTCTTCAGGTCAAATATATTGTAACAGGGTTACCTTCTCTCTCTACTATCTTAGGTGACCTTTCTCCTCTCTATTATCTTTATTACCATAGAGAGGACTTGAATGTCACATTATAAATAGTCACCCAAAATTGTAAGTCAGAATCTTACTTTTGTAGTCTGATAAAGTTTATGGAATATTCTAATTCCGTTGTTTGACCTCAGGAGCATTTGAACCCCAATACTTCCACCCCAAAGCTTCTTTTCATGTATGTCATTTAATCAGGGCTATTCCACTACTGATGCATTTTCATCAAGAAAAGTGATCTGGGATGAACTCCCTTTAGTCAATTTAATTTCTTGATCATCAGGGCTAAAGTTGCCAATTTTTTATATTATTCAACTTCAGCCAAATTATTTATTGTGATTCTCTTCTATTTCGAGTTTATACTAAAGATATGATATACTGATATTTTTATATATCAAATGTTATTAAGAGCAGCTTCTCCCCCTATGAATTTTTCTGTCATTTTGCAGAACAAAATTTGTTAAGATTTGACTTTTCTGTCAATTTTGGTCACAAATTTTACTGTGTGTGATTTTATTTTATTATTATATTTTAATGGTGAGTTTAATATTTTTCAATATATTTTATTGATTATGCTATTACAGTTGTCCCATTCCCTTTATTGTCCTCCGCCCTGTACACCCCCCTCCCAATGGCATCCCCCCTTCCCTTAGTTCATGTTCATGGGCTGTACATATAAGTTCTTTGGCTTCTCCATTTCCCATAGTATTCTTAACCTCCCCCTGTCTATTTTGTACCTACCATTTATGCTTCTTATTCCCTGTACCTTTTCTCCCATTCTCCTCCCTCCCCCTCCTCACTGATAACCCTCCGTGTGATCTCCATTTCTGTAATTCTGTTCCTATTCTAGTGGTTTGCTTAGGTTTTTGTTTTTTAGGTTCAGTTGTTGATTGTTGTGAGTTTGTTGTTATTTTAGTGTTCCTATTTTTTATCTTCTTTTTCTTAGATAAGTCCCTTTAACATCTCATATAATAAGGGCTTGGTGATGATGAACTCCTTGAACTTGACCTTATCTGAGAAGCGCTTTATGTGCCCTTCCATTCTAAATGATAGATTTGCTGGATAGAGTAATCTTGGATGTAGGTCCTTGCCTTTCATGACTTTGAACACTTCTTTCCAGCCCCTTCTTGCCTATAAGGTTTCTTTTGAGAAATTACCTGACAGACTTATGGGAAGTTCTTTGTAGATAATTGTCTCCTTTTCTCTTGCTGTTTTTAAGATTCTCTCCTTATCTTTGATCCTGAGTAATGTAATTATGATGTGCCTTGGTGTGTGCTTCCTTGGGTCCAACTTTTTTGGGACTCTGAGCTTCCTGGACTTCCTGAAAGTTTATTTTCTTTGCCAGATTGGGGAAGTTCTCCTTCATTATTTTTTCAAGTAAATTTCAATTTCTTGGTCTTCTTCTCCTTCTGGCACTCCTATGATTTGGATGTTGGAATGTTTACAGTTGTACCTGAGTTCCTAAGCTACTCCTCATTTTTTTGAATTCTTGTTTCTTCATTCTGTTCAGGTTGAATGTTTATTTCTTCCTTCTGCTCCAAACCATTGATTTGAGTCCTGGTTTCCTCCCCCTTACTGTCGGCTCCCTGTGCATTTTCCGTTATTTCACTTTTCTTAGCCTTCACTTTTTCCTCTATTTTGTGACCATACTCAACCAAATCTGTGAACATCCTGATTAATGGCACTTTGAACTATGCATCTGATAGGTTGGCTATCTCTTCATCACTTACTTGTATTTTTTTTCTGGAGCTTTGATCTGTTCTTTCATTTGGGCCATTTTGTGTGTGTTGGTACACCTGTTACGTTGTAAGAGGCAGAACCTTAGGTATTGGCCGGGATGGGTCAACACACATTGATGAATTATGGTGCTGTATGTGGGGTCCTCTCCACCCCGGCTGCCCATCTCCACCCCTCCTACCGGTCTGGATGAATGTGTCTTCTTTAACTTCTTGGTTGTTGGACTTCCACACAGTTTGATTTTCTGGCAGCTCTGGTTGTTTTTGTTTTTAAATTTGTTGTTGTCCTTCTTTTGGTTGTGTAAGGAGGCACAGTGTGTCTATCTACGCCTCCATCTTGGCTGCAAGTCCTCTGATTTTATTGTTGCCAATTTTGTTTTATGTTGGTCACTTCTACCAATAATAGCTCACCTTAATTGCATTAAATGGCTGATAGGAATTAAATTAGCTATATTTATTTCTAAGCTAAACAATGAAAAACTGTAATTCTGAGACAGGGAGATAATCAAAGGGAACCAGGGAGCAGAAGGGGGAGATGAAAGACACCCTATTTCAAAACATTCATGAGGTCAAAGTAATTTGCATGACAGGAATAAAAGACATACACCAGGCATTACTTTTTAGAAGTTAAAAATATTACATAAAGAATTAAAAAATAAAATAACACTAAATGTTCTGATTTGGCTAGTAATTAATCTACTTAAAGCTATATAACAATAAATTAATTATGAAAATGACTAAACTACCTATTCAAATTTATGAGATGGTATTTGAAAAACATTGAATATTATTTTTGGTAGCCAGCATTTATTTTCCCATATGTTATGTTTTGTTCCAGTTAAAAATAGTGTAACTTCATTAATTTTAAAAAATAGAGAAAAAGAAAACATATCCTACAACCCTAACAAAAACCACTATTAGCACATTGTTGAATTTTGTGCAGCCTGTTCGTTTTCTATGTTTTTAAAACATTTGCTAGAATCTTTTATTATAGAGATTTGTTACGTACTACAATGATTGTAGAGAGCATCTCCACAACCTTATAATGACTGCTTTTTAGCTAACTGTGACAAAACAATTCCATCTCGCAACATTTTATTTGGATAAGACATTTGCACACTGAAAACTAACAGCAAAATTATCTGCACCGTTCTACTGCTACAGGAGAACAGACTGCTGGATCCATGTAGACAGGCTTTTTGAAACTCTAAAGCAAAGTTGAAAAGTACAATAGATTAGTCGGCATTGTCTTTAAAGAATTAGGTTATAAGCACTCAAAATAAAATGAGCATTCGTTACCTCTGCAGTTGGGTCCCTCAAATCTGCTTTCCACCCAAATTGTTTCATAAGAGCAATTCCAATGATTCTTCCTACCTCCTGGAAAAGAAGCAAGTTACAGAAAACAAAAGAATATTATAAATAAACATTTAAGTTTAAATATAAGTGGAAACAGAGCTAGTAGGAAAACCAAGTCTGACTATGCGATGGGGATTTAAAATTACAGTATTAAAATATTATACTGCAAAACTTTCTATTCAAGGCAATAAGGCTGCATTTTACTTTTTTCACCCCCTCACCCCCACAGTCCAAAACACTGTATGGCATTAAAACCTACTTGTGTATAATCTCTATTTTTGTAATTTTTAGACACAAAATAACCAAATTGTGGCCTAGTAAATAAAGCCATTCTGGGTTTTAGGAAATAGATGCAAGCTGAAAAGATGAACTGTTTTACCTGCTCTAAGCCTGTATGCTTTCAAATGACCAGATCAATAGCATTAGTCTCAAACTTTAGGGTCTGATTTTAAGGTTGGCCAAAGAACCCACACCTATGCTCTTTATATCACTGACCTTTGTAGGGGTCAACTGGTAACAGTTTTTCAAAGGATCCCGCTTGTAGTCTTCACCCTCCCCTAGATGGCTGAGGCCTTGAGTGCACTTATGTATTTGCAGTCTGGGTTCTAGTGACAACCACACACACAGGGCCTGGTGCAGAGTCATCACTCAGTACACACAGAACTGAACTAAGGAGAACCCAAATGTCAGGGTTCTCTAAATGCGACAGATACCTGTAAGTTTAAGAAAACTTTTGGGGAGAGAGTAAAAGGAGTTAAGTACTCAGAATGGCATACTATTCCTATTAAGCATCTGACGTAACATTAAAATGGAAAATGCCTTTTTAAAGAGATTTAATTATATGATATTAGGCCTGGTTATCTGCCTGAACCTTATTATTTATTCTGTGAAAGGTTCTGATCTCATTTTAAATCTAAAGAGTAGTTAATTGTTTCTAGGAAGCGAAAGCCCACTTTGGAGCTGAGTGTACCTGAGCAGAAAAGGTCTTCGCCATGGCTCCGCTGCAGCGACAAGACACTCTGAAAGTCAAGTCTTTCTGGCTGGGGGTGCCAGCTGCTTTCGCTGCTTCAGTCTGACATTCTTCTAGTTGAAATTTTTCTCTGTTAGTGAGAAACTCTCCTTGCGCTGGCGTTTCCTCTCCTATTTGTTTTTCCAGCTGGCATTCCCTACTCTCTTGTGTCTTTTGCATTTGTTCTGCTTTTAATTTCTTAGTGATAATGGTGTCATTTTCTCCCACTTTTCTTTTTAGTAGGTTAGCATCTCTTTGAGAAAGTCTTTTCTTTTTTGCATCAAGTTCAAGAAGATTTTTCCAAATCAAAATGGCATTCAACCAACTTTCAGGATCATCATTTATAAGTCTTTGCATTTCATTATATATTTTTCCTAAATAAATAAAATCTCAGTTTATCTTATGTTGAAACTTTAAAGAGAGTCTATTATACTCATAACCCCCCAAGTTCCATTATCTTTATTTTTAGAAAATAAGTTTTTTCAACTAATTTCTTCACTTTCATCTGAAATTCCTATCATTTAATATAAGAATGGTGTGCAAAATAAGGTTCATTCTTATATTCCATACTAAATATCAAAACTACTTTCAAATTCTTACAGGATTATCATACACTTCAGCAAGGTCATTTGTCCTTCACAATATGTGCACTTCTTCAATACATGCCTAGACCTAGAGGGTGTCTCAATCTTTGAAATGATGCTGATCTTGCCTGTAAAATTCAGTTGGAAAAAAAATAAATGACCAAACACAGGTCCCAGAAACAGAGCAATTGAACTTTGGACTATTTTAGACCACACCGTAGCAGTGCACACCACGAAAGGAGTTTCCATAAAGTAACACCTCAGGTCCAGAATCTGTTCATAACTTAGACTCTGCCAGCATACTTAACATAATGTAGTCTTTTCTGAATGAACAAGGGTTATCAAGAAGACCCAAGAGTAATTGCTCTATGTTTCTCTAATAATGTGTGTGGAATATTGGAATGAAATTATATTAACCCCACAGTATAATGTCTTAGTGTTTTTTTAAAATAATTTTTTCTGCCGTGTCTTGATTTCCTGCCATTTGTATCTTTCTCAATACAATTTATTATAGACTACACACTTATACGATCTCTTGTGCAGAGTCAGCAATCAAAATGAAGCTTAAGGCAATGCTTAATCCATCAGTGTCTAGATTTTGTTGCTTTTATCAAGATCCTTAAATTATTTTTTGCACATATTATAAAAACAGAAAATCTCTTAAACCCCCTTTAACTGAAATGCTTTATAAAAGGCTAGAAGTTTATTCAAACATTTTAGGTCTCCAATACAGGCAATTTTACTACACAGTATTCTTCTACTTAAATCACTCATTAGTTAAATTTACAAGGTGACAGTTTTGACCAATTTATCAAGACAATACATTTTGGATTATTAGATGCCCTCCATCTAAATAAATGCATCTGACCATACATATCCATAGAGAAGGTGTCCGATCAGAATTCTCAAAATGAAGTGTGACTTAAGGCACGGAAACCTCAGTAAGACAGGCAGCGAATCGCAAAGAGAGAAGCCACAGGTGATAACAGTCAGAAAATATAGAAAAATACATAACCAATGGTCCCACAGGTTGGAATGAATCTTACAGATGTCAAATGGCTACTTATTACTCATCAAGCAGGAAGCTAGGGCACAATATATTGTGTGGATAAAAGTAACAGGTAAAATATACTGTACCTTTGTTTACAGAAGAAACATTAAACGGAAACTGCTTTTTAATCAGTAAAAATAATCTTTCTGCAGATTTTAATTTTTTTAGCATATTCAAGTCAGAGCAGGTGGTAAAAAAAACTTTTCCTGAAACATATTCAACCTAGAGATAGAAAAATAGATATTAATGTAGTTGAATGTAGCGTAGAATAAGAACCATTTCCCTTTCCCCCCTTAATGAATTAAAACATAGCATCTAGATTAACAATAAAAATGACCATTTCTGAACTATCTAGTATTTGTCAGACATTATACCAGGTATTTTGAATACATTCTTTTCCCTCATCTTTATAACTGTCTCAGGTAGATTTTATCACCCTCATTTTACAGGTTAGAAAACCGAGGCTTAGATAGGTTTAAGAAACTGTAAAAAGTCACAAAGTCAGTGACCAAGACCATCATCTAACTATGTCATGCCACCATCTGTAAAGCGTGAGTGTGCATTTGTGTGTATACACACTAGAAAAACAGAACACAAAATACTCGGTGATTGTGTTGCTAAACCTCACACACTATTGGAAAGCGGGCATCATTAGTAAAAGTCTTGGAGGAGGATCCTACATGACCTGGGAAGAGGGATTCTAGGGAAGGAACAGAGGGCAGGAGGCCGAGGTGCGTGTGACAGCCCGGCTGAGGCTCCTCGTAGGTTAGCACGGCCACACTTGCTGCATTGTGCTGACTGAGAATGTCAGGCGATGGATGGTGTAGCTCCGGCCAGCTTGATAAATGGCCGTGACATGGAGTGCCAGAGATGGTAATGGTCAACCATCACGGACTTTTGATGAAAACTGACAGCACCAAATTAGCTGGCAGAAAAAATTACTGTGGAAGAGGCATAAAGGACGGAGTGTAGAAAGTGATGCTGGAGGGAGAAGTAGATTACTGAGGTAGAAATAATGAGACACTTGGCTGCGGGAACTGAAAAATGGATAGAAGCAGGAAATATGCATCAAACAGCAGCAGGCTTTGGAGACAGGGTAGCTGCGAGGTAAAAGACAAGCAAGAAAGGCGAATGAAAAGAGCGTGGACTTGCGGGGTCTCTAACTGGGCTCAACAGTGGGGCAAATAGCGGTCAACACCCATGGAATCCTACACCCTTTTTGGGTCCACCCAGCCCCCTTAAATTCAGAATGGATGTGGACTGTCTTGAAATTCTCCTTTCAGCGGTGGCCGAGGGCTGACTAAGATGGTTCTAATACTTTTCTAGAACTGAAGCATCAGGGAATTCAGGGTGTCCCATGCGTTCAGGCAGCTCCCATTCAATGGGAACTTGAACTCTTAAGTTTTTTTATCTGATATGGTTTAAGTAAGCTTTCCAGATGGTAATTTCTGAGGTTACCATTCTCTGTTGATGACAGAGTATCTGCCAAGGAAGCCCTAGGTTGTCACCAGTTAAAACCCAAACACTTCTGGTTACAAAGTTCAACAAGTTCTGAGGATCTAATGGACAGTATGGTGAATAGAGACAATAACACTGAATTATATACTTGAAAGTTGCTAAGACAGTAGGTCTTAAATGTTCTCACCCAAAAAATAGATGGTTATTATGTGACAGGTGGGGGTATTAACTAATGCTATGGCAGTAATCATTGTGCAATATATAAATCTATCAAATTAACACACTGCATACCTTAAATTTCCACAATGTTATGTCAATTATAGCTCAATAAAGCTTGAAAAATAAATAAAAAGAAAGCCCAAATGGCTTAGATACCAGCAACGCAGCTAAGAGAGATGAAGTGGAAAATAAAAAGAAAATTTAGGAGTCAATATTTAAGGGGATAATGAAGCAGCTAAAAGAAGAGTTTCTAGCTTCTAGAATTTACTTCTTTCTCATTACAAAGGTGACAATTTCCACTAAAGTCCAAACTCAATACATACCTCAAAGTGCTTAGAACTTGAAAACAAAGTTTTAAAAAGCACATGTTTAAAATTTTACATTTTTATGTTCTCTGACATTAAAGCCACCATAAAACAAGTAACAAACATAAAATACCTTGACAAGACTCAGGGGGAAGTGAAATAAATACTTCACTGAAAATGTACGGTTTTAAGGTTTAAGTCCTATAAACAAATAAACTGATAGAACATCTAGACTAGTGATTTTAATCTAAGTATCCAGTGAACTATATATTTATAGTTACTTAATTGTACAAAGATCTTACATTTTGTCCACTTATTTGAACATCTAGGGAAACATTATATACGATGAGTTTTTCTAAAAATGTCTTTTTTGGGGTGGGAGGAGCAAGATTTTCAAAAAGAACATAACTGAATGTCAAGTTAATTAAGAAGATCTATAAGATTTAATTTATTTGGGGTCAAATCATAAGAATAATATGTGTTGATGCTTTAATGTGCTAAATACATTGACAAAGTCAAAATCAACATTATTCTCTTTATTTAAAAATCAACATAAGGTCTACTCTTTTATAACTAATAAGCATATAATTAGAAGTAGTTTACTAAATTGTAAAAGTCACTGTGAAAATGACATAATCATAAATATGAAAGCATTTTACTGGTTTGCTCTTTATGAAGATAAAGTATTATAGCTTAAAGCAGTAGGGAGAATTTTGATACTTAATGATTTGAAGAATGGCTGATGCTAGTGTTACTCTTTTTCCTTAGTTTCCTGCTTGTAACCGATGGTACTCAATTACAATAGTTAGGGAGAAATGCAGCATTTTAGAATATTTCATCCTAATACTTGTAACTTGAAAATTTATATATATATATATACCATCTGTTTATTGCATTTGGAATTAAAGCATAACCAAGTGTCTAAAACCAGCTGGTTTCATGTCTAACACTTCCAAAGATAAAATAGCAGCTTTTATTAAAGTAAAAACAGCTGTCATGGGCTAGCATATCGAAGCAGTTAGCATCCTTCCCTTTCTTTTAAAATTCAGGGATTCAAGTCTAACACAAAGATGATATTTAAGTACAGGTAAAATGTACAGTAATATAGGAAGTAATATAGAGATACCAAAGTTTTCCTAATTCTACAGGTGCCAGTTAGTTTCAGAATTAATTTAAAAGTGCTAAGGGAAGAGTTGAAGTGGTGTGTGAGATTTTTTGTTTCATTGTAGAAGAGAGGATTAAAAATACATATATTACTTAATTTGTAAAAAGCCATTCAACCTAAAAGGAATGCCTAGAATCTTCAAAAAAGCAACCTTACGCAATCATCCCACTAAATGAAAGAAGCAGACTATCTGCTTAGTTCTGTCCCTCCACCATGACCTCATTAAAAAAATAACAATTAATTGGCTTGTTCACTTGGGGCAATGGTCTTTGCTCTGTGGGTTTCTACAGGTTGAGGAATCACTTGACAAGGACTTTCTAGCCTGCTGGCATTTGGAACATGTTTACTCTGTTGAGTTTGATATTAAAAATCACTGTTCCTACTATTATGCTTATAATAAATAGAAGTATTTAATACATTAAACAGTGTTACAAAGTAAAGTTTAACTGTTCCCAATACATTTCTTAAAAAGAGAATGAGTAAAAAATATATCATTATGTCTAAATATAAAATAGACATTACATAAGTATATTATATTTAAAACACATATATTTATATAATATAAATATTAAAAAAGACCCAGGAGCCTAAACAGACACCACTAGGAGGTAAAAATCCCAAACCTGAATCTGACCAAGCCCTAGATACAGCTCACAGGATCCCAAACGACAGGAAACACAGAGCACAGAGGACCGCGCTGAACTGCCCCACGGAGAAGCAAGTGGCAACATCCAGACCAGGGAACTCTGGCAGTGTTCTCAACCTTCTGCGGCGAGGAAAGTGTCCCATAACCTGTGCTGACATAGTTGCCACTAGCATGTGTTGCCTCTGAGCACCTGAAATGGGACTAGTGCACCAAAGAAAGTAATTTTTAAATTTTTTATCTGATTTTAATAAATTTTAATTTAAATAACCACCGCAGCTAGAGATGACCGTAGTGGACACACAACTCTGTACCTGAGGTCAGAAAACCAGGCCTGTTGGGTTAAGAATGGTTTTGACATTTTTAAAGGGATATGCAAGCAGTAATACAATGCAGCAGAAACCACAATGTGTTCCACAAAGCCTTAAAAACACCCCACATTTTTTGATCCACAAAACCTAAAATATTTCTTTCCTGGCCCTAAAATATTTCTTTTCTGGTCCTTTCTGGTCAGAAAAAGTTTGCTGACCCCTGCTCTAGACTATGGGACAAACAAAGAAGCTTTTTAACAAGCAAACTGCCCTGGAAAGCGATTGGAAGGGAATGTATAGATTAAAAGAAACTTTTACCAGCCAATCACAACGTGTGGGCCTTGTGTGACTCCTCATTTAAATACACAAACTTTAAAACAAAAAGTGACATTTATGAGCAAGCTGAAATCTGAACAGTGACAAGATATTTGATGAAAAGAAATTACTAATTTTTAGATGTGCTAATGATATTGTGGCCTATATTTTTAAGAAGAGCTGTATTATCTTCTTAATGTTATACTATATATTATGCTACAAAAAGAGCCCTGATATTATAGATACACAGGGAAATATTGATAGATGAAATGATGTCTGGGATTTGCTTCAAAATAACATGGATTGAGGAGTGGAAGTGTGTATGGAGCAAAATTCACCATGGGTTGATGATTGCTGCAGCTGGTAGATGAGTAAGATTCATCATACTGTTCTGTCTACCTTTGTGTATGTTTGAAATTCTCCATGATAAAAAGCTAAAATGAACACCCAGTCAGAAGAAGCACCTGAGAGGGGAGAGAATTCCTAAGTTAAAATGCAAACACCTTGGGCTTACCTTGTGGGGCTGGCAACTAGGGATACGCATTTGCAACAAGCCCCCTAGTTGATTCTTATGTTCACTACAATCAGGAAAATCACTGATCAGAACAGAGTGATTACTTTGTAAAATTACACAATCACTTCTGAATTAATCTGTTTTGTATTAAGGTTTCACACTATTTTCTTAAAACAAACCCAAGTTTCTAACAGTCTCTCTTGTCATTGCAAGCATGATTTTAAATATTTCTGTGCAACTCATTCTATAGGAATGTTTAATTGAGCACCTACTGTTTGCCATACACCATACTACATGTGCTATGGATCTGTCTCAAGGAATGCAGTAATCCTTTAAAGTAGGTATTATCATCTCTATTTTATATCCAAGGAAAGTGGGGCTCAGAAATTTGAGTAATTTGCCCCAACTCACACATCTGTTAAAGGATGATATAAGATTTGGACATGTCTTTGGGTTCTAAAGCCCACATATACTTCTTACAGTGATGCTGTTACAGAACAACCTACATGCAGGGTTCCAGGGCAGTTTCCCACGGTAAACTGTGGTACTGTGGTAAATAAATCACGTGGGCTTCGAAGCTAAAGAGATTCAGGTACAACTACCAGTCCCACCAGTCAGCATGTTTTCTCTTTATTTCCTTGTAGAATGGAGGTGAAAATGAACTATCGCCTAGGGTTCTTTTGAGAATTAAATTATAACGTGTACATAAAATATCTGACACATGTTAAGTGCTTCATAAACGTTAGATGCTATCATTATTATTTCAGAATTGCCTTCACTTTGAGAATCTGTTTCATATTGAGAAGGTGGGATGGAATTTCAGAGGTTATCTGTTCAGATATATCTATCCAGGCATATCGATCCTTAAAACACACAATGTCAGAACATGGAAATCCCCAAGTCTCTTGGCATTTAATTGTTCTCATGGCCAAAAATTTTTCCCTATGATTAATTGAATTTTGTTGCTCTGATTAAAATACATAGCCCCCCTGCCCCTGCCCAGCCCAATCTGATTTTGTCTGTAGAGAAGATGGAGAACAAGCAGAGAGGGTCTTTCTCTTTCCCAATAATGTGACATACACCCACACTGGGGCAGGCCTTCTATTCCTCATACCAAGAACTCTAACTTAACATTAAAAAAAATTAATACAGCATTATGTCATGGCCACAAAATGGGCAAGGACTGGACCTGGGAGAAAGGCTGCCTGACAGCCTGGGTTCAAACCCCAGCTCTGCCATTTCTGTTACAAGGCTTGAATAATTTATTGGATTTACCTATGTTTTATTTTCCTTTTCTGTTAAATGTGAAGACTACCTCGTAGGGTTGTTGTGAAAATTAAAGAGGTGAATACAGAGTAAGCCCCCAAGAACACGTGCCTGACATCTATTAAATGCTTGATGTTAGCAGTTGTTATTATACCGGCTACATCCAAACACTATTAAAATCTGCCACCAACACCACCAACAGCAGGTAGTCCAACACGATGCCATTTTCATGACCTCTCTTCTCCTCCTCTGATGCCATCCTCTCGCTGCAGAAACTACTCCTGTGGGCTCCCAACAGTAGGGGAGCTGCCGGAGTCCTCAATTTCATCTAGCAAGCCTTCCTCTTCCAATACCACAGCATCGGCACTGTCCTATTACCCGTCAAGATACTGAAGGCTTTTTGTTACATCTTTTTCCTCTGCTTGCAAGAAACCAGACCCACATTTCCTAAATGAACCAAGACTGATGCTTAAAACCTTGTTCATTTCACTGAAATTAACAACTTATAAATACCAGAAACTAGTAACTTTCGCTGAGAGTTGGACTGAGGCCCCCAAGAGCATTTCTCTAGCTACCATTTACTGTGTTTAAGGTGTACTTTACATACCCTTTATCATTTTAGCTTCCCAACAAAATATAGATGTACCATCACCGCCAGGAAACTGGCAAGAGTCAAGTAAAAGAACCTGAAGGTTTATTTGTGCTTAAAAGATGGAGAAAGGATTCCAACTTTGGCAGGTCTAACTCTAATTATAGTCACTACCAAACACTTTCTTTTAAAGAATCCAGGAAATAGCTTGCTTCAGCCCCCTTTTAAAAAGATTTCAGCAGTGCCTAACGTGCAGTTACAGACGTGCAGGGAGACACGACTGGCGGTTCTTTCCTGTAGCAATGGAAAGACCTGTCCGTAGAACTGCGAGGACGGGGGCTGTCGCCACGGCCGCTGCGCGGCTGACAGCGTGGATCGCGTCGCCTCCCCGGGTCTAACGCGGACCCTGCGGGGAGGGGGGCAGTGGCTGGGCCTCTCTCCTTCCCTCCGGGGCGCAGCGAGGCCGACTCACCTGCGTGGCCTGCAGCCGCACCCGCACCTCCCGCATGAGGAAGGGCTCCAAACCGCGGCCCGCCGTGCAGAAGAAGCGGGCGGCCGCTGCAGGCCCGGAATCGGGAGCTCCGGGCCCCGCCGCCATGGCAGCTCGGGCGCGCCCTCGCGGCCCAGGGGTCACGTGGCCTCGAGCGCGCGTTCCCGCGAGTCCCCGCGCTCGCAGAGGCGGGCGCTCAGGGGTTGGTGGCGGGTGGATGGAGCTAAAGGCCCCACACCCCCTGCAGAGAGTGTTGGGGAAGGTCAGGTCATGTGGGCGTGGCCCCAAGAGTCACCTTGGTTAAACTGTTTCGATCGTCCTTGATGAGGCATCTGGAAGGATTTAGAATCTTAGGTGCAAAGAACGTAATTGATCATCTAACCTGACTTAATTTTCAGATTGAGGAAGTTGATGTCTACAGAGGCCAAAGGACAGCGAGTTACTGGCATGGGTGAGGCAGGAACCTAGATGTCTTAATATCTAGTATAACAACCTTCTTCATTCCTCCCAACTCCCTCTTCTCTCCTTCATCCCTCCTCTCCTCTCCTAAGAAGCCCTTGCTCTATCTTCATCAAGAACTGGGCGAAAGTTGGGAATCCCCAGGACCAAGAGCACCCTCCACTCTCCAACTAGATACCCTGATGGTCAGGAAACCGCTCACAGTTCTTAACGTGTTTAACCTGCCAGGCAGTGAATGCACAATCTAATTTAGTCCACCTGATTTGATTGGGTCTCTTACCAGTACTTGGAGGGAAAGTTGTCTAATTCCGAATTATAAAATGGCAATGAAAATATTTCTTGGGAAGAATAGAACCCATATTACAAAATGAACACCTATGGTTTACTATGATTTCAAATCCATTTGTTTAAGACCAGTAAATTGTTTTAATCCACTCGTTCATAAACAAGACAAAAAGGGTTCAGGAGTAGTTGTGCTCTAAGGATGAAGTTGTGTCAGGATGTCATCATCTCATCTGTTGTCCTCGGTAAGAACTCCACTTAGCTCCCGAGGGGTCCGAGTGGGGGCTTATCCATAAGAACACGTGGAAATGCAACTACGAGACTGTAAATGTAGTTTGCTCTTGGATAACATGGTTTAGGGACACCAACCCCGCACAGTCAAAAATCTGTTTGACTCTCTCAAAACTTAACTACAGTTGGCCCTTTACATCCAAGAACTCAAACAGCAGTGTCTGTCTGAGATAGGGAATTGACAGATGGGAAAATGCATTTGGGAATGCAAAAATACTGTTTTCATTTGAGGTTGGTTGAATCCACAGATGTGAAATCCGAAGATACAAAGGGTCAACTATATTCACTGAAAAAAAAAATCTGTGTTTAGGTGGATCAGCACAGTTTTTTCAAGGTCAACTGTACTGAGAATTCATGAGGACTGTGAGTTTTGGTTTGAGCAAAGTGACTCTTCACTAACCTAAAAACTCTGGGAAGACCCTTGGGGCATTTGCTCCTGTCTTGGTGAGATGATTACATTCTAGAATGGTAACATTGTGTCTTGTTGTATTCATTCCCTAGCAACGGGCTATAGCAACAAGAAACATTCTTGTGATGGCAGTTGGAGATCAGCTTTTGCTTGGATGCCTTCTCTTCTGTCCTGCCTGCTGGTGTAAAAAGGTATACCTCATTAAATTTGAGCATCATTCCTTCATCTCCCCTTGTCTGTATCAATAGTGTGATTAATCTGTCATGTGTTTAGAGTATGTTATTTCTTTATTGGCTTGTTAAAAGATATTATGCTATATGCTATTGGCTTGTGAAATTATAATAATTCTCACAACCAAGTACTGTTGATAAATATACAATCAGTCTCTATGTGTAACTTTGTTGCCTCCAAAACAAAGTAAAAAAAAAAAACCCGTAGCATTAAAGCTCTGTGGTGATATGAATAGATAAATAGAACTTTTTAAAAAATATTTTATTTATTTATCTTTAAAGGGGAAAGGAAGGAGAGAGGGAGAGAAATATCAGTGTATGGTTGCCTCTTGTGTGTCCCCCGCTGGGAACTGGGCTGCAACCCAGGCATGTGCCCTGACTGGGAATCGAACCTCAAAACTCTGGTTCACAGGCCTGTGCTAAATCCACTGAGCTACACCAGCCAGGTAAATAGAAACTTTTAAATGAATTACTATCTCTCTGGCAAGTACTTCTCTGCCCCCCACTCTCTCTGCAGCTTCATGGCCTACTGGGACAGTATCATGAAGATTTTTAAGTCATGTGACAAGGGCTTTTCCCAGGTTCAGCCCTAAGACTTCTCAGATCCTTCCCTTTTGGTGAAATTCTTTCTTTTCTTTTTTCTTTTTTTTGCCTCCAGACTTACGTTCTTCTTCTCTCAGCGGTTGCCATAGCTCATTACAAGTTCTCTGTACTTTGGAGTTCCTGACTCTCAAGTCTATCTGGGAAGACCTCCTTAGCACTTTCTACATTCTGTACCCAAGATGGTAAGCACAACGTATCCCATTCAGTTTAACAACTACTGGACACCCACTCCTTGCCAGATACCACCTGAGGTCTTGAGGACACAAACACTAGTAAGCAAGGTTCTGGACCTCAAGGGGCTTAAAGGATGACGAGATTGATTTATTAAGGATGTGTCCAGAAGGCTGTGGCAGCACAAAAAGGTGACAGGGAGAGCTTCCTGGAGAAAATCACTCCAGTGCCAGGTAATGAAGGGTGTGTAAGAGTTGAATGACTCCCTGGGGATAGGAGTGGTGGTGGAGGGGTTTGTCATGGTGGTGTGGTGTAGAAAGAACAGCAGATGTGAGTGTGTGTGTGTGTGTGTGTGTGGTGGAGGCAGTGGGACAGGAAGGCCACAACAGCAGCTAGGTGTTATTAGAGCATAAATTATGAGTTGAAAAATGGCTGGAAATAAAGGTAGAGAGGTGGATAGGGACCAGGTGATCACAGTGCTGCCCAAGGCGGCTGGGCAGCGACATGGTCTTCTGGACAGAACCATGGCCGAGCCAATCTGGCCCTTACACCCCACTCCAGTTTCCCTTCTTTTGTTGTCCTCCCCCTTCAGGAGCCTTTGGACAGCAAGGTCAGGGACTACTCTTCCTCCAGTCGGGGGGTCACGTGCGTTTTCTCACCTTCGGACTCTGCTTCAGCCCAGTACTTCCAACAATGCCTTTCACAGTGTTTGAGATGAGGTGAAGCAGGTGGAGTTCTACCTCTTTAGGGAGAAAATAATTGGGTTTCCGCGTGGAGAGTCACCTGGAATTCTCTCCCCATTACTCAAATACTCTGTCCGCCAGTATTTCTACTTCTTATTTAAAAAAAAGTCTGTACTGAAAAAGAGCCATTGATCCCTGTAGATGCTTAGCATACCCAGCTGAGTTTTGCTGTTTGCATATTGCATATTCAACATGTAGGACATTGGAAGTAGACAGGAGCAATTTTAGAACAGATACATTTTTAAGTGAGGTGTTTTAGGAATTTAGGGCAGTATCATTTGCTTCCAGATCTCTTCCTATTTTGGTGTGATTGGCAATTCCTTTAGTTCTTAAAAGTGTTTGATGTATATACTTAGATATTAAAATGCAAATGACTTCAATTGCGAGATCCTTGAGGAGGGGATGACCTCATTCATCTGGGCATCCCTAGAGAGCGCACTGGCTTGCCTGCCTGCGGAAGGCTGTCAGTAAACGGATGCTGAATTGAACGGAATGTGACCGAAGGGAAGGTCACTAAAGAAGGTCACTCCGCTGGGGGGAGTTGCTATAACCACCAAACCAGCGGGGCTTTTGTGATCCAGATATGGGGGTAGGGTACTGAGGTTAGTAGGGGGGCATTCAAGGGTATAGGAGGACCCCAGAGATAAAATTCTTCACAACTTTGCAGTGTACAATGGTGAGCCAGGGCCCTTCTCCCCAGGAGAGCAGCAACCATTGCTGTATACAAACCAATTCAATTGCCCACTCTTTCCCTCCTCCCAGGCCAGGCCTGTGCTTATACTGTTCCCTTTGTTTGGAACCCTTTTCTCTTCCTTTTCTTTTCTTCAAGGCTAAGTTCAGTGCCACATCTTCCATGATGCTCTCTCCTGCCTTTCTTACACTCTTTTACTCTCTTAATATTTTATACCTTTATCATTTATTTATTCATTCATATATGTTCAGGCCATGGCAATGTGTCAGTTCATATGACAAGGTCCCAGCCTTTGAGAAATGTTCGGTTCGGTGGGAGATCATGGTGAAGGTTCTGGGTTGCTCAGAGACCTATAAAGCAGGGGGCCATGGACACCGCAGGTTTATCACCTGAGCTCCGCCTCCTGTCTCCCCTCTTACCTGGTTCGTGGAAAAATCGACTTCCACGAAATAGGTCCCCGGTGCCCAAAAGGTTGGGGATTGGTGGTATAAAGGATGACAATTCAATGTGACATGTGGGAAGGAAAGGGAAAGCAATGTGACGTATGGGGCTGGCATGTAGTAGGCACTTAATACATGAAGTTGAATAGATGAACTTATTCTGAAGTTGACTGAGCATTTTCTATTTTTTTGGCGTCTCAGCTTCCTTAGAGCGTCTTTGCCAAGAGGAGGCATTCTCTGCCTTCGGAGGCCCCCCTCCCTTCGGTAGGTATATCGTTAGGAAGCACCATGGAAGTCTATTGAACTCTTGTTTCTACAACCCCGCAGAGGAACTTGTAAAGAGTAGGGGTTTGTACAGCTTTAGAATTCAGATGAGTTGTGGCATTGTGAGTAGACAGAGGCACAGAAGTCTGTCATGTAGAATCCAACCAAGTCACTGCGGATTGTGAAAGAAAGAATGAACATTTTTATGGCTGCAACTGCAAAAGCAATTTGGGAAAAAGCCGTTGGTCACACACTGATTAAACCACTTATGTGCGCACAGTAATCACCTTGAATGGTGCTTCTTTGAACATGCAATCAAGAAAAAGAAAATTTAGCAAAAAATTACTGCATTGTGTATGTAAATACTGCCTTTAAATGTTATTTATTCATTAGTGTTTATATCACTGTAGTTTTAATGTAGCATCAAAATTCAAAAGATTCAATCTTCATGCTTTAATCTAGAGAGACAATTCAATTGCTTTAGTTATACAGTGCATGAAATTATTTGGATGTACAAATAGAGTCTAGTATTACCAGTGCTTTTGGAAACAAACGT